TGCCTAATGTGGAAAGTCTTCTTGGGGCCTGGGATTGGGGGGCGGGGGTACCCACATGGGCCCAAGATATGCCTGCCTCTTTGTAGGTTACGTAGAACAATCCCTCTTCCGTAGCTACACTGGCCCTAAACCCCACCTCTTTCTCCGTTACATTGATGACTGTATCGGCGCCGTCTCGTGCTCCCACGAGAAGCTCGAACAGTTCATCCACTTCACCAACACCTTCCACCCCAACCTTAAGTTCAACTGGACCATCTCTAATACCTCTCTCTCCTTCCTGGACCTCTCCGTTTCCATCTCTGCCAACCACCTAGAAACCGATATCCATTTCAAGTCCACCGACTCCCACAGCTACCTAGAATACACCTCCTCCCACCCACCTTCCTGCAAAAATGCTATCCCCTATTCCCAATTCCTTCACCTCCGCCACATCTGCTCCCAGGATGAGGCATTCCACTCCCGTACATCTCAGATGTCCTCGTTTTTCCAAGGACCGCAACTCTTCCCCCCCCCCCCCACCCACAGCGGTCGAGAACGCCCTCAACCGTGTCTCCCGCATTTCCCGCAACTCATCCCTCACACCCCCTCCCCGCAATAACAACCAAAACAGAATCCCCCTCATCCTCACGTACCACCCCACCAACTTCCGGATCCAACGCATCATCCTCTGACACTTCCGCCATCTGCAATCCAACTCCACCACCAAAGACATTTTCCCCTCCCCACCCTTACCTGCTTTCTGGAGGGACCACTCTCTCCGTGATTCCCTTGTCCGCTCCACACTCCCCTTGAGCCCCACCACACCCGGCACTTTCCCTGCAACCGCAGGAAGTGCTACACCTACCCCTACACCTTCCCCCCCTCACCCCAAGAAGACATTCCACACCAAGCAGATGTTCACCTGCACATCTGCTAATGTGGTGTACTACATCCGCTGTTCCCATTGTGGCCTCCTCTACATCGGGGAAACCAAGCGGAGGCTTGGGAACCACTTTGCAGAACACCTACGCTCGGTTCACACGAAACAACTGCACCTCCCAGTCGCGAACCATTTCAACTCCCCCTCCCATTCCTCAGACGACATGTCCATCCTGGGCCTCCTGCAGTGCCACAACGATGCCACCCGAAGGTTGCAGGAGCAGCAACTCATATTCCGCTTGCGAACCCTGCAGCCCAATGGTTATCAATGTGGACTTCACAAGCTTCAAAATCTCCCTCCTCCCCCTACCGCATCCCAAAACCAGCCCAGCTCGTCCCCGCCTCCCTAACCTGTCCTTCCACCCACCTATCCCCTCCTCCCACCTCAAGCCCCACCCCCATCTCCTACCCACTAACCTCATCCCGCCCCCTTGACCTGTCCGTCCTCCCTAACTCCCCACCTACATTCGCCTTTACTGGCTCCATCCCTGCCTCTTTGACCGGTCTGTCTCCTCTCCATCTATCTTCTCCTCTATCCATCTTCTATCCACCTCCCCCTCTCTCCCTATTTATTTCAGAACCCCCTTCCCCTCCCCCATTTCTGAAGAAGGGTCTAGGCCCGAAATGTCAGCCTTCCTGCTCCTCTGATGCTGCTTGGCCTGCTGTGTTCATCCAGCTCTACACCTTGTTATCTCAGATTCTCCAGCATCTGCAGTTCCTACTATCTCATCTACGTAACTCTTGGATTCCATTTCAGAATGTTGACGTCATGTCAAAGATGGCTATGCTCACCTCTAACCGCAAAGGTGTTTGTATTGATTTTGAACCACTGCAGTCAATGTGATGAAGATACTGCCACAGTACTGTTAGATCAGGACTGCCAGAATTTTGACCTTGCAGCAATGACGGAATGACAGTGTATGTTCAAGTCAGACCATTGTGCAGCAATGGAAAACTTAGACGTGATGATGTTCTTATGCTCTCATTTTTTTTTTTCTACATGGTGGAGGGCATAGACTTGAGAGGTGCTTCTGAAGCACTCTTGGCAAGTTGCCACAGTACATCCTGATGCAGCATACAATGCAACTATGGTGTACTGATCTGAGGAAGGGTCACCGGGCCCAAAACATCAACTCTGATTTCTCTTCACAGATGATGAACTTTTCCAGCAATTTGTTTTCGTTTCTGATTTACAGCACCAGCAGTTCTTTTGATTTTAATATGGTATATCGATGATGGATATTTAAGTCGTTGGATCAGTTGGCAGGAAACTAGATTGCTTTGCACTGGATGGCATCAGGCATCTCAGCTGGCGCTGTAGCTTCACCCATGTGAGGGTGAGTGGACAGCATTCTATCTATTCTTCACTTGTGCTACATAGATGGTGGAGATGATTTGGGGAGGCAGAAGGTGAACTATTTGCCATAGAATATCTAGATTATGATACCTTCTAATTGCGTGCGTGGCTGGTCATTTGAAGTCAATAACAGATGAAGTTAAAGAATGCAGCGATCTATGGACCATTATTTAAATGGAAAGACACTGCAGAATGCTACAGTTAAAAGGAATATGGGTGTCTCTGTACGTGAGCTAGAAGACCTCAACTACATTTCCACCCACATACTGCTTCTTGCAAAGTTCCATTCCATTCTCTCAATTCCTCTGTCTCTGTTGCATCAGTCTAATGTTATTGTCCACAATATTGCTTCCAATATGGCTTCCTTTTCCCTCAACCAAGGATTTCCTTCACTGTGGTTCACAGGATCCTCAACAGTGCTCGATTTCTACTTCTGCTCTTAGCCATTTCCTTCCCTCCCAAAACCACAACAGGGTTCACCATGCCTTGACAGGCCACCCCACAGACCTCTTGTACTCAAAGAATAATCCTCTACCATTTCCACTACCTCCAGCATGATGCCACAACCAAATATATTCTTCCCTCCACTCCCTTATGAGCATTCTACAGGGGCCATTCCCTCTGACACCTTGGTCCACTCTTCTACCACTTAACACTTCTTCACCAATCCTGTGGCAACTTCCCACGGAATTGCAAATATGTATCCCTCCTCACTGTCTAGAGCACTAAATACGACTTCCAGGTGAAGCAGTAATTAAGTAATACTTCTTTCAATCTAGACTACAGAATTAGCTACCCACAATAATGCCGACTAGGTGACTGCTTTGCAAAACATCTCCATTCAGTCCAGAAGCTTGACCCAGACCTTCAGCCTGCTTGCCACTTCGATACACCATCTCATTCTCATGCACACATTTGTTCTAGCTTTGCTACGATGTTTGAGAAGACCAAAACAAGGAATGGAGGAATAGTATCTAATTTTCCACTTAGGCATTTCACAGCCTTCAGGACTCAACACCGAGTTCAACAACTTCAGATCATGACTCGCTCCCCCACTTCAATATAATTTTCCATTCTAGTGTCTGTACCTTGTTTGCAGGATTTTAATTTCTGTCAGAACTAACCTTTATTCTTCTATAAATCACTACTTTGATCCAAAGCTTTGTCTCTCTTTGCTACAATCACTCCTTGCCTTTTGTTCTACAACACCTTTGGTCTCTAATCACCCCCTTATCCTCTAACTCTTCTCTGACCTTTCCTTATGATCCATTTGTTCTTCCCTTCCCTACCTTTTTTCTCAACAGCATGAAACCCATCACATTTGGGCTTTTCCCTTCATTTCTCAAGACTTGAAACATTAATTCTGTTTCTCTCTCCACAGATACCGCCACATTGGCAGTTTCTTCAGCATGTTCTGTTTTTATTAACTTTAAATTAGAGCTAGGCCATTTAGGGGTGAAGTCATGAAGCACTTTTCACACGAAGGGTTGAGGAAATCTTGAATACTTCAAAAAAACAAAAAAAACTGTTCAGGCTCTTCCAGAAATAGATATGATTTTACACAGCCAAGGGGACTAAAGCAATACGGCACCCAAAGCAGGTTGAAGGAATTAAGATACAGATCCAGATCCACTACTAAGTGAATGGTGGAACAAGCTTGCAGGGCTGAATGGTATACTCTTGTTCCTCTCCGCCAAGAGATCTATGGTAATTGTCAAGGCTAAACAAGCAAACAGTTTGCTACCTCTATCAGATAAAACGCTGTCCATATGGAATCTATCTAGCTAAAATGTACACTGTGAACAGAAACTCACTTAAAAGTTTAAGTTAACTCTTTCTTCCCAGGAAAGGCAATTATCTTATCTGTTGTTAGGGCTAGCACTTACACTGTATTTTTCACAATTTCTGAATGAATTTGTGCAACTCCATTAACAGCATGTGATCCAACAACGCTCAGGTGTGCCATGTTAATCCTCTTGGGATCTCCCTCTTCAATCAGAGACATACGCGTCAGGCGGTCAACATCACCAGGAAACTGTGCAGCAACGTTCTACAACAAAAAGTGAATACTTGGATTACCTGAACTAGTAGGCAATATAACAAGATTCTTTTAGTCCTTTATCCCAATTAAAGGGCTGGGTAGGCGTACTGAAAGACATCCAAATAGCAAAGTGTAGGAGAGGGAGAAAAACTCTAAAACGAGCCCTCTAAGCAGACAGGCAACATTTTTAAGATTAGATCTTTGGTAACTATGTTCTTCACTTCTCTCTACAAACTTCGAAAAAAATGAATAGGCCAAATCTGAAGATTCAATTTAGTAAGACAAGTAGGATTGATAAACGTGAACAGATTTTGATCTTGTTAATAATTTGGTGCAAGTTTTGCTAAACTGAAATGTTTTTAGCTTAGTGTAAAAACTTGTGAACAGTTACATTTCAAAGAGGTAAAACATACTTTAAGCCTGGCACAGTTCGAACAAAAAAAAAGTGTTCCAAATCCAAAACAGAGAGAATTCTGGGTTTAATCTATTTTTAGAGGGGAGCAATCCTGCTGTTCTAGATTAGTGCTCAAGCTGTGTGAGCAGAAAATCTGCAACCAGCACTGTTGCTGTATACCCTGGAGTAAATCTTCAACTTAATTGCCTGAGTAGGCATTCCAACTAGATCATTATTCTATTGACATTGAAGGGGAAAAAAAGTATATGCCTTTCTTGTAATACGTTCTATGGCACAAAGTAGGTGGAGTTGTAGTCACTGTTATAAAGTAGGAAAACACAAAGCCAAGCCACAGGTAATTTGGTGGTGAGAAAAGAAAATCAGTTGTATATAAGAGCACTTCTGGATTGTTCACAAAATCCTATAAACAGCAATGTAATAATGACTAGATCATTTATTACAGTGATTTATTTGAAGGATAAAGGGGGTCCACTGCACTCTAGATAATGGTAACGTTTTAAAGTGGTCTCCAAAGAAGTAACCAGATAAGGTATAGAATGCAGAGTTTGCTGAATAGACCTACTCACCTCCCTCTCTTTCAAGAATGAATATTTATAGGAATATGAATAATTCAAAAACTACATGTTCCGATTTTGATTTTGGCAAATAAAAGCAATTCACCTCTCCCTCTGGGGTGTTCACTGAAAGGAATCTGCTCTTAACAGTAAATCAATAGCACAAAGCAGTCTAGGGACATCTGATACTAGATTCTGGTGGGGTGGGAATGAAAACCGATGCCCTGAACAGGGGTGGGTGGGATTGTCAGGAAGGGAAGGAGTGTGGGGTACAATGAATAATATTCTTGCACCTTTATTTAGAGGCTGTGGCCTTCATTAACAGACTAAATGTTCCTGCAAGTAGGTCAGATGCCTGTCCCTTATCCCACTCGAGTTCAACCTAGAAGCTGGTGGCTTGGAGCTGCCAATCAGATTTATTTCCATTTTTTGGTCATTTAAATCCCGAGTCATGCCCAATCTAACAGCTAATCTGTATTACAGCTGTTCCTAAGAGATGCCTCTTTCACTATATACTGACAGTGGGCTTTCCCACTCCCCTACTTCCTCTTTATATGGCTTATATGGTTTACAGGTTTATATGAAACTTAATAGTGGTTAAAGCTGTAGAACGGAGGGAGAGAGTGTTGTTATTCAATACATTAGAAGTCAGATGCTTACTCAGTTCTAGAATCCAAAGCTTTCCGAATTTCTTAAAAGGAATATTGATGTTGCACTTTTACAGACTTAGAACTATCATTATTCAAGCACGTACAATCAAAACCTCAGCTCTTCTAAAACTATATTGCCTATATTTGATCCCATATAACCATCATCATTGCCTCACTGATTTAATTTGGCTTCTTGTCCCCTAATCCTTCGCTTAAATTCTCATCCTGATGTTCGAATCACACTATGTGCCAAGACCCCATCACAACACATCTTTCCTCCCCAAGCTTTGTAAATTGGGGAGCGAAGGGAGCAAGAATACACAAGAGAACTTCCTTAGAGGAACACAAAGTACTTGCTGTGCTAAAAGGCTGGAGAATGTTGCACTAAGTGAGGGGGGTGGTGTGGTGAAGCTATGAAAGAATTCAAACACAAGAATGAAAATTTTAAATGTGGGGTGCTGGGGACAGAAAGCCAATATAGTCAGTTAGCACAAGGTGGTTAGTTAGCAGGACATGATATGGGATAGGACCCAGGTTCTCAACAGTCAAAGGATCATAGGGTTCACCAAAATACAGAAAAATAATCTGCAGAATCAGGGGTTCCGCAATCTATGTCTCATTCTTATTCTCTCCAGACTTTTCAGAACCATTCAATTCAGCCAAAGGCCGTTAACATAGCCATGCCATTGATGCATGCGTAAGGCAGTTCACTGCTACAACATCTCAAAACACCCTCACCTAAACTTCAATCTGTTGCCAATTCTCCAGAGTCAAGCCTCAAACTGCTAACCATGCTCCATCTCTAACTTCTGACCTTATATTTTCAACAAGTATCACATTAAGTAGCACACAACAAGTGACAAGAGCCTTCAGAAGAGTGCATACTACTGCCACATTATTTTATCTCAATATTTTTACAATTATGCAGCTCTTCCTCGAGTCTTTCTTCCTTGCCTGGTTGATGCTCTACAATTAGAAAGCTGAAAAAGTAATTTTTTTATTTAGACCTTTCATCTCACTGAAGAGGCTTCAAGCAAAACCACATTCAATAACCGGCTCTGAAAACTATGTATATTTTGACAGCTGCGAAAAGTTTCCCCACCAGCAGCTGAGATAGCCAACTATATTCTCAATAAACTTACCCAAATTATTCTTGGAAAAATGTTAATCCATTCCATACCTATAAGTTCATGGGTCCTTTAAGAACTTCCAAGATCTAGATCCACATCTTCAAAAACTAAACATTTTTTCCTTGAGCCATAACCCATCTGTATACCAAGATACCAAGTCTTGCTGAAATCCATCCATTAGTTGTTGAGATATATTGTTTACTGATGATTAGACTAACTAGGGTTCATTTACTCTCATATTCAATGAGAAAGGTCTAAGAAACATATGGATATTCTTAATTTTATAACTAATTTGTACTTGTGCCATTTTGGACTCAAAAGAGAGTGAAACCACTGAAACAAAAACAAAGTGCTGGAGAACCCCAGCAGGTCTGAGTTCTGTGGAGAGAAAAAGGGGAGTTAGCATTTCAAGTTCAGGTGATCCTTCATCAGAACATTTGGATTCGAAACATTAACTTTTTTTTCTCTCCATTGATGCTGCCAGACCTGCTGAGTTTCTCTAGCACTTTCTGCTTTGTTTACAATCTCCAGTATCTTCAATTCTTTGTTTCAGTTTAGTGAAACCAACTGAACTAAGGCTGACACCTGCACCTGAATTAAAAGTAGGCATATTGTGCAATAAATGCTGATCTATTCTGACAGATTAGCATTCCTAGAAATAAGATGAGAAATTTCCCCACTTTAAGCCCACATACTTTTCCATTTCATGTCAGAGTAACACTCCTGACTCAATAAATATAGAAGTGTTAAAATATCACCTGATTAATCTGAACATCGGCGAAAACTGGAATTACAAACACTGCATGAACTTCAAGTGAAATCACACCAAGATTTGTTTCACTCAATGTGCCAGCAGCACTAAGAACAGTCACTCATTTACAGTTAATTGGCATTATTGCATTTGTTAAAATCAACTCTCTCACACGGTCAGACACTGCAGCCTTGATGCTTCAAATGGTGCCATCAAAACACGTGAATTGACAAACACTTCAGAAAAAACTCTTCAGGATTATAAGCCCTTGAGTATAGAGGATTAAGGGGTGGTTTATTTAAGATGCTTAATATAATTGAACTATTTAGGAACTCAGGAATGGGAGTAGGCCATTCAGTCTATCGGGCCTACTATTCTATTCAATATGGTCGTGGCTGATCAAATACCTTTCACCCACCCCATAACCCTATAAGCCATTGAGCTTCTAAAGCCCCTTTTGATAGCAAATTCCAAAGATTCACAACACAGAGTAAACTAAATCCCCCTAAATCTCAGACCAAAGTGGCAAAGCCCATATTTTTAAATTGTGTCCCCGGTCTACACTCCTGAATCAGGGGAAACCTTTATGTGCATTTATGGCAACTCTTAGCTATCCTTTTAAGCATTTTATGTTTCAATGAAATCTCTTTCATCCTTCAAAACTCAAGTGAATACAGGCTCAATTTGCCTCAGCTATCTTCATTAGGACAGTTCTACCATCTCAGAAACAAGTCTGGTGAGCCTTTGATGCACTCTATCTCTGGCAAATAATATTTTTCCTTAGTTAAGGAACCAAAGCTGCACACAGTATTCCAGGTGTAATCCAACCAAGCTCCTATACAATTAAAGGAAGACTTCATTACTCCTGTACTTAAATCCTCTTGAAATAAAGGCTAACATTCCATTGGCCTTCCTAATACCTTGCTGTACCTGCACGTTAGCCTTCAATGACTTATTGTCAAGGACAAGTAGATCCTTTCACACATCTACACTTTCCAACGTCTTACAACTTAAGAAATACCCTGCATATCTATTTTTCCTATCAAATGGACAACTTCACACTTTTCCCCCATATTATATTCCATCTATCATTTTATTGCTGTTCACTAAGCCAGTCCAAATCCTCCTGATGATATTTTATACCCTCCTCACAATACACATTCCCACTTAGCTTTGTATCATCTGCAAATGTGGAAATACTTTATTTGGTCCCCAGCTCCAAACATTGTCAACAGCTAGGATCCAAGTGCCAAATTTTGTGGTACCATCAACCTGCCAAAACAAGGATATCCTATTTGGTTGTACTCAGTTTTCTGTGTTAGCCAATCATTAATCCATTCCAGTACATTACTTTCTTTCCCACATGCTTTAATTTTTCTTACCAGATTCCTGTGGTGGGCTTTATCAAAAGCCTTCTGAAAATCCAGGTATACTACATCCATCAGTTCTCCTTTATCAATTTCATCATCATCTTCAAAAAGCTCCAGAAATTTCAACATGATTTCCAAT